ACGATACATGATTCTAAGAAATGACTTTGGACATAATTTGTCTTCTACTTGTCTCCCAACTAGGTTTGGATAATTCGGAGGATATAACAAGGGAATACATATGCGAAAGAATGAATATAGTTTTCTCAGTCGGGTACTCCACTCCTAGGATCGACTCCCGTTAAAAATGGTGTCCATATCATCAAATGACTCAATCAGAAGAGAACTAATCACGCAAAGAGATCTACTGAAAAAGGATCAATATAAGCTGACAGTCTTCTACCCTCAGATAGCAAGTTTCGATCTGTGTTTAAACACGTCATTGAAATTAACAGGGGTAGGCTAATTAAGTTGTGCACTCCTTAAAGTAGCCAATTAAAGGCTGACTCGAGGTTAGGAATGGATAACGAATGCATATGGTTTGAAGGGCTTTAGCGACGCCTTATTAACCAGTAAAATGACCAATAAATTTTTTAAAGTTTAACTTTCCATAGAATGGAGGAAGTAAATGTTTGTCTCAGTAGTTTATGGAGCGGCATTCAGGAACGCTATGATTCTAACACTGAGTAATTCTAACAAAGAGGCATTTTAGACATTACAAACAAGCAAATAGTGTCAAGACATGTCTCAAATACTGAAAATAGTAGTTCAGAAACAGTAACTTATTTCATCTTTGAGGTAATCTCGGGATTACCTTTTAGAATGTAAGCATCCCAGCCAGCATTTACTTTGGGTGCTCTTTGGAACTTTCGGATTTCACCCGAAGCTACTTTGGGCGCACTTCGTGACTTTTGATACTTTCGGGGAGAAGGTTTGGAACATTCGGGGCGATATTGTGCGTCGCTTGATATGCGCCCGAAGTAAAATTTTCGGGTTTTAGACCGAAACTCACAATGTGCTTCCGAAGCTAATGCTGGCTGGGATCCCAGTTAACATTATTGCGGGGAAACGCAGGGCGAAATGCCGGGGTTAAAAACTCGGAGAAATGTTGCATCATCCCGCGTTTAGCCCCATGTTTTCGTGGCAGTCTGAAACATGACCCCGAGTTTTGCCCTGCGAAAGTGTTAACTGGGATGCATGTAAGACGAAAACACCGACCAATTTTCAACGGATAACTTTATGTGCAGCATATTCTTAAGAATCACAAACGCTTTATCAGATGAGATGAAGCTGTGAACTTAGCAACAATGTGGAAATTTATCACGTTTGACTCACTGTCAAATTTATGCATGTGGTCGCTCTCAAGTTTTTTTCAGACCACGTCGTGCGGTCACAGCGAAGATGTTTTGCTGTAATAATTGTATATGTTAGGGACTAAATAAGGCGGATTTAAGAAAAAGATCGCAACATAGTAATAAACAGTACACCAGTAATTCATATACGTTCCGGAATCCTTCGGAAAATGCTGACTTTTACCTGAAGGGAGATGCTTAAAACGCTTGTTCTCTTGCACATAGGACTGAATTGTGTGGTTAAGATAACGCAGCATACTGCTTTTGTTCATCAGAGATTCTTTTAATATATGTGTTTGCAGTAATGTTGCGTAATTACTGATATCTCATCCTATGCAGATCTCAGCAGTATATAGATTGCAAATAATACTTCAGTCAAATAATTAGCGGGAAGATGAAGTCAATTTATTACACGAGGCTAATACAGTAGAGAGGGCTGAAGTGTGGATGAATAATTCAGAGCTTCAAATCAGTCTTCAATGAAAAGGATAGTGGGCAATTGGCTTGTGGTAATCGTTGCAATAGTTATCTCTGTGATGGGCTTTTTCACTCTTTGAATGCGATCTGCGAAGGAGCTCCCACCTCTTGTCTCGGCAACAAGTTGCAGTTAGTGACCACCTCATGGAAGAGCCGGTACTCCACTCGAATATGATTTGACCGCTGATTTTGGATCTGTCTTTAATGTCCTCCGACATGATCCATCCTAGAGGAGGAAAAAAAAATCGTATAAATCAATACCTGTCACTATTCACAATGCAAAGGGCTAGAATCAAGTCGCCCCTTTATTGCGTTAACATAAGGAAAAGAGGTTTAGTCTTGCTAATAGCTCTTCGTAAGGAAGCTGGACGAGACTTGCCACTAATTTATTGGCAACCCTTTGAACCCGTTCTAGTGTATCACCTTCCTTTTTGAAGGATGGGCTAGCTACTTGAATACAGGCCATACTTGAATAAGGTGTGGGATCCTGAACATCTTGCCAGTTCATTTGAATCCTCTGAGGCTAATAAATCACGAAAAGCTTTAGCTTGAGAAGCATTACAGTTACCAGTCGTCTCTAAGTACAAACTTGTTTCGAAACCCGAGGTGTTAGTTGACCATTCATTGAGGGGCCACCAGGAAAGTCATTTCCAATGGAAACTACCGCGCTTTTGATGGAATTAATTCTCAGGGTTCATCGTTTTGACCATCCAACCAGCTCACCAATGTCAGCTTGGAGTGTAGACCTATCATTATCACTATAGATGATCCTCCATATTTTGACGTCCTCAGCAAATGACAGTGGTGGCGACCTGCGCATCTTCGATGTTTCCTTAACGTTAAGGAGGAAAAGCAATGATCCAAGCTTATTTCCCTTGGCAACACCACTGACGAGTTTGTCACTCAGATAGTGTTCCATCTATTCTTACCCTTTTCTTTCGCTCGTGTAAGTATTCCCTGACCCAGGCATGAACCTCATTGTCAATACCAAATGTGTGAAGTTTCTTCAACAACCCTGTGTATGACACTTTATCGAAAGCCTTTCTGAAGCTTATAAATTCCACATCCACATGGGGTTTATCGTCCATATATATATATATATATATATATATATATATATATATATGAGTGAGCGTAGGCGGCAGCTGTTGATGTATATCTGTAGTTTGTTGGAAATGCTTTTCGTGACGCGCCAAGATTCTGAACCATGTAGAAGCACTGACTTGACTGAATTAGTGTTGAAAATCAGGATCTTGTTCTTTATGCCGATTGCAGTGGATTAGATCTCCACACTGGTTTCAGATTGACATAGTCCCGTCTTGCTTTTAAGATCCTGTGTCCCGTGTTGGTATTAACTGATTATCGTATAGAGGATAACCTCTTCAGGTTGTTCATGACATTTTATGAAACTAGAGAAATGCTTATGTTGTATCGATGTAGCAATGAGTTCAACTGAAATAGTTTTTAAGATATTTGTGTTTGTAGACATTCATGGTTTAATGGAGTTGTAAAGCTGTAATCATCGGAGGTAGAAATACTAACTCTTGGTCTAATTGATGGGGAATTGATCATTCGTTTTCCCTTCGTCAAGTTCTTGGACATGTCCCTACTTACCGACACTTTCCTCATTGCTTGGCCCGAAAGCGGTATTCCACCTCGTATTAACAGGCGGTCTTGAAGAAAGTACCAAATAACTTGATAGTATTACAAAAGGCCATCTAACTTGAAGCACGATCCTGTGAGTTTCGTTGAGAGTCAGCAGTTACCCACAGTGTCTATCATTCTTGTGCGACCTTGCTATATATGTGTTGATGTAAGTGAATCCACTCACTTCCTACTTCTGATTCCATGTCTAAAGAGCCTGTGATCGGTACAGAATACGAAGAGAAAAATTTGTGTTGTATGGATTTAATAAAAGGATGCAACCTACTAAATGGTTTGAGTAAAGTTCTTGGGATGTCTTTTGCATCTGTAAGGTAGGTAGTGCTAGACGACCGGTGTGCAACACAAGCAATCTCGAGAGTGGGAGGTTAAGTAGTCAAGTGGGTTGATGGGTTTGCTTATTCAAGAATTAGCATCCACTCTGGTTGCTAACAAAATTTCGGGACGATAACGTAAGATTATTACTGCTTTCTCCAACCTCATCTACAACTGATAAATATCCAACTGTCTGTCGTAGGGAAAACATACTGAGCCTAATTCTGTTGTTGTTTACTCTCTGGCTGTGAAGTGTTTCTGTTGAAGGCATAATGAGATAGTCAGTCAACCACAGTTGTTTCTGTGGCATTCTTGACGTGTGATAAAACCACTGGGTTAGCAGTTTTGAGGTTTTTCACGTGGTCCTCAATAATGAAGGTAAGACAGTAGATGTAAAGGTACATCAACTAAGATGATGAAAAATGTGTCATTTGTCGATGCAGACCTCACGTTGATATCTGATATGGATATTATAGAAAAATTAGTTTTCCGGGTTAAGGCAGCACCCGTTCACTCACTCACAGATTGTCGCTCTAGGTTGGTCTGGTGACCCTTTCCAGGTTAGGTGTGAATCTAGCCTGTGGGCAGCTGTTGCGTCAGACTAGTTGGCTAGAACCTCATGCTATCATTTTAGGATCTTGAAACTGTTATAACCTTGTCACCACTCGTTGCACTCTTGTAGTAACTACTTGATATAACCCGAATTATATATATATATATATATATATATATATATATATATATATATATATATATATATATATATATATATATATATATATATATACATTCAATGTGCAATGGTTGCGATGTTCGCCGCCAACTGGGATCAATAACCTGGTCTCATTTTCCTCAAGCTACATTTCTCCAGGAAACATTTGTTAACATATTCCGAGGATTTTTAATATGAACAGCGTTTTGACTGTTATCTGATACCGGTCGTAGTCATATGTTTCTGAATAAGTGGGATCACGTTGTTGCTTACAGAGAAGAAATTAACCATATTCCCTTGAGACAAATATAACAAACGCCTCATGTTTTTCTATTTCTTAACCGTGACTCACAACTCTTATCTTCCCGCTTCCAATATTCTCTGTCAAGCTGTAAGTTTTCCAACCTCTGTAACATGTTTTATAGTCTCAGTGACTACTTTTACTACTATCTAAACACTATGAATTCACATTATCTTCTCATATTGCGTTTTCATATTTCAGGTTGCCTGTTTTCTCAACCTCTGATCTCAGTTTTGTTGTACATAACCACTTCTTCGTCTCTATGTAAGTTTGTTAATTAGCTAAAGGGATATTATATTTATAGCTTCAAAGAGCATCTCTAATGGGCATTCCTCACTATCTAATTGTCGGTGGTGGTTTATCTGGTCTCATTACTTCATACTTTATATCCCTTATTCGATCACCTGGTACTTATCGTCTTACAGTTTTGGAGAGTAGTAACAGGTGGGGAGGTTGGATTCGGTCAGTTAAAAATCCCAACACCGGTTCAATTTATGAAGCAGGTCCGCATAGTGCTCGTGTCAAATCTTCTGCAGCAGGTCTCTTATTGAGGACAGTATTGAGTCTAAATCTTGAAAAATCACTTTTATGGATGAATGCAGATGCAGCAAAACGATTCATTTTCATAAATGGCCAAGTTGTGCCGTTGTCTACTCTCATTTTTTCAGTCAGAAAACCGTTTACTCGTTCTATTTTCGATGTGATCATCAGACGATTGTTTTCTGGACGTCCACCATCTCAGTCGGATTGGACTGTTGATGAGTTTCTTCGTTCTCGTTTTGATTCAGAATTCGCTGATTATATTGGTAGTGCTTTGATACGTGGTATCTTTGCTGGTGACTCACGGAACCTTAGTGTTCGTGCTTGTCTGCCTATGGTAAGTCATTTGTCCAATGCTTATATTGCTCATCTTATTTCAGATAAAATTGTCTAAGTAATTCATGTGATCTCAGAAACTGTCATCAATCAATCCTTCTGATGTTCTATCTTTAACTGTTATCTTCACTTCTAATTTATGCATATACTAGCTGATCCATATAACAATGTTTTAAATTTTTAAGCATCTAGTAAATTTAAATTCCTAGGGGTTGTAATTTATTCGTGTTCAAATTACAAGTATTAATAAACAACAATTGATACCCGCTGAACAAAAGGTGACGTAATGGATAGTGCTTTGGCGTTTGAAGTGATGCATACTAGGTTCGAGTCTCAATAGGAATATTACTCACTGGAATGCAGTTACATTCGGGTGACGAGTCCCAAATGGGACGAAATACACGTCCTGGACTCTACTGTTAGTCACCGAGATAAATATTCACTTTCAAGATTATTTTTGAATAAATATTTACTTTTTAAGCTTAACTAGTGCTTAATTCTTCTGAAATGTAAATCAATAAACATTTCAAAGAAATCTGGATCCTTTCTTACACATAGTAGGTATAAAGGATATTTATTGAATTTAATGTATGCCATGGGAACTACTTCATGCTCCAACATAGTACCGTATTTATTATTATCATAGAGAATCACTTAATTTCATCAATTTTTCTAGACATCAATGTGACTGACTTCATTTGGTGAATTATTCGGCAATCAGTATATTATATAACTTTTAATATAATTCGAGCATGTTTAGAAAATCAAAAACAAGATTTGTCTGGACGTTTCACTGTGTATGCCATAGCTTCTTTAGCAGTATTGTATAATAATTTCGATTTTTAAAATTGGTTATCATATTTCAATACACTGATGTGTTCATGTATTCTTTTCAGCTTGTGAAATCAGAAGAATGTGGACCGAATCTGATTCTTGGACTTTTGCGCTCAAAGTTCAACCAATCTTTAAATAGTAATACTGTGCCAACTATTCTTGATGAGAAACTTCCACATTTGAATAACTTGATCTCATCCAATTCGATTGCATGGAATTTGTCAGGTGGATTAGAGACTCTAATCGATACTATGGCAGACAGTTTAAATAGGAATTATCCACACATTAAACTTCATTTGAACTCTTCTGTAGAAAAATTGAAATTAAAAAATGATCACTACGAGTACACATGGAGAAATGTTACTAATGGTAGTGACCAGAAGAAAATAGATAAAGCAAATTCAGTCTTTCTTTGCTGTCCATCGTTTGTCACAGCGGAAATTTTGGAGGATGTAATATCTTCTGAAACTCTAAGCTATCTGAAACCAGATCGCCTTCCATGGGAGGATGTTGTCAGTGCTGTTCTAGAAGTGGACGGTTCGTCTTTCACTCCATCAATTCGTGGATTTGGACACTTAGTACCTCGTCCTGAAGATGCACATATTTTAGGTGTGATATACGATTCTTTTGCATTTCCACAATTGGATGGAGATGGTAAAAATTTGCGGTATACAGTAATGATGAAACCTCATTCTGACTGGCTTGAATCATCTAAAAATTTCAGCTCTGTAGAACACTTAGAAAGTGTTATTGAAGAGGTTTCAAGAAATGTCCTTATAAAACATCTTAAAATACCCAATCCAGTGATTGTTGGTCGTCATATCCGAGTTCTCCGTAACTGCATCCCTCAATATCCTCCTGGTCATTTGAACAGTATAGCTAGTTTACGCAATGAAATTTGCCAAGTTTCAAGTGGAAATAATTCTGTCCGAAAAGGCCTATATCTTGTCGGCAATTCATATGATGGTGTTGGATTGACTGATACTGTTCAAAGTGCTGCAAATGCGGTTGTAGAAGAATTTAAATCGTTATCATGAAGATTGGTTGTTTGTAAAGCACATCATGCCTCTTTGTATTATAATTCTTAATAGTATTGTAATTCTAGGCTTTTCTCTAATGCTTACAGTGTAAAATAAACCTTTTCGTACTTAGGTTACATTTTCATAATTATGATGCTGTTATCCTTTGCATTCCTTTTGAGCACACGGCTGTGAAACATGGCCATTGAATGTAAAAGACATGCAGCGATTACAAAGTTTTAATCGTAGGTGTCTTCATAGCATTGCTTGCGTTTGATGGAATCACCACCGTGTGATCGATGTTGAGGTCAGGTAAAGGGTACTAGACAAGATAAGGAAGTCGATTGCTGAGGTTTTGAACCTTCGTCGGCTGTGGTGACGTGGTATTCGTTCCACTGCGTCTGCCGATTCACTGCTTACCTCGACGTACCATGTTAGGGGAAGTTGGACTAGGTTAGAAGAAGGTTCAGCGTAGCCAGACCAAGACGCAGCACCAGTCGACCAAGTTCCTGAGCGTTGGTCTGAGCCGTATTGGGAGATGTGGCTGGTCACGATGGGGCAGTTACATTCGCTCTTTGACATCTAAAGCTTGAATATTTGCACTAAGCGTTATGTTCAGATTGTTTATTCTATCCACCTATTCTTTGTATACTGCTGCGAGGTGTGTGTGCCAGGTTCTACGCTGATTCTATCTGTCTGCATAGGATGTAGTGTATCATATGTTTTTTAATATATATAGTACGTAATCGATTCGTCCCTACTGTGTTTTTCTTGTTCTTCCTTTGTAGATTTCTCCTCAGAGAGGGAAATTAACTTCCTTCTGAATATAACTTGTTTCCTTCTAGAGAGATTGCCTATTCAATTGTTAATTAGTAGTTACAAGTGTTAGTCGGATTCATTCCGAAGGGAAATACACTGTAATCATCGAACTATAAAAATACAACGCAGTTGGACCGTTTTTCTAACGGTGGCCACTGGAAAGAATTTGGTAAATAGACTTAACAGTTTTTTATAATTTGAAAGCAATTTGGGTACTCGATCTAGTCACTCAGTAAGCATGTAACTCAGAGTTGATATCACCAACTGTAAGTGACACTTAGTGATTATAGTTCTCACTTTAAAGCAAACACAGCTTCACTTCAGATCACAGATTCATTTTATTGATGATTACCAATAAAATGCAACTTAGATCTTGTGATTTCTTGTAATCGCCCCCCTAAACATTCATAACTAGTGTCAAAATACATTTAAAATGCAATGCATAGGATATATTTATGTATTGTTGGTGCTTTCATCGTGTAAGAACAAATTTCTTCTCATAAATATGTGAATCAATCGTTCAATTGTCTGGTTTTCATCTAATTTATTTGCTTCGACACCTGTTCATACGATCGCGTACTTACTCAATGAACCTGTATTGACCGAGCATTATTTTGCCTCATGTCGCTAAAATGTGTGGTATTTCGTCGTGTTAAACGATTCTCTATCGTAATTTAGAAAGTTACATCATTATAAACTCCCGAATTTTTAATCATATCTAAGGTAGCATGAAATGTTTGATCCTACTGAATCAGACATTCAGGAAAATTCACTAATATGTCACTGAATCATTAACCCGATTTCCCACAGAAATGGAAGCCAAAGTATGGTCGAGAATATTGGCTTTCGGTTTCATTCATTTATGGTATTCTTCATTCGCTATAATGAAATACGTTCGCTTGTACTTCACAAAGGTGTATATGTATGTATATACAACATACGGTGGTTACATAAAAGTAACCTTTTCCAATAATGTCACCTTCGTTATCTGCAGAGTAAAAGTTCCAGACCACAATCCATAGTATCTTCAAAGCAGCCGAGTTTGCTAACCTTCATAGCTGTGAATTGTCTGAGTGATTTAGCTACATCTAACTCTTTTGTTTACCCGATAGGTAGCATTTTTTCTTCTGGCTCTTCATCCCTATAATAGCTTGTTCGTTAAGGTAAGTTAAACTGACACTGTTGGTTTCTTGGAAAACGATTTATTGCAGAAGTTTGTTATTGAGGCATAAAAACTATGGGATAGTTTAAAAGGCTATTAAGAAGTGATCATTAGTGAGAGAAGAAAAAGTATTTCAGTGGATAGTCTCTTTTCGGTGATTTCATTCTCAGATCTGTAAAGTTGCAAATTTATACATTTTTTTCTTGTGTTAGGGTCCGATAGTTAAAAGTGATTTGTTAAACATGGCAACAAAATTAGTCTCAATGTGAGCTAACAATCGAGAGTTTAGTGGTTGAGTGTGTTGACCACTTCACTTACCTGGGAATTGGGACCAGCCCTGGTGGCTCAGTGGCCGATGAAATCTCCGCATGGATACAGAAGGCTCGGCTGGCTTTTGCTAACGCACGCCACCTGTAGACCGCCGCGATATCTGATTGTCTATTAAGGGTCACGTGTACTGCATCTGCACAGCAGTCCGCTCTGTTCTACTCCATGACTGTGAAACATGGCCATTGAAGGTGGAAGACATGAGAAGGATGGCTTCAGGTGTTTGACCACCGTTGCCTTCGTAGTATAGACCGTATTCCGTGGTGTCACCACATGAGTAATGCAGAAGTCAGGTGTAGAGTTTTAGGGAGAAGAGGTAGGTCAGTTGACGAGGTTGTGAACCTTCATCAACTGAGATGGTTGGGATGTGTTACGTATGCCTAGCCGCCGATTGCCTCGTCACACAATGTTGGCCGAGGTAGGTTGAGACTGGAAAAGGCTCGAGGTTGCCAGACTAAAACATGGCACCAATGTATGAAGTTTCTGACTGTTGGTTTGAGCCATGTGGGATGATGCAGACTAGGTGGTTGGGGTCGGTGGGACAAGAGGAACCAGTGGTTGGAGACTGTAGGTGATATGGCTTGGAACCGATGTTAGTGGCGCAGATGTATACACACATTATCCTCATCTTAACAAGGCTATACCGAATCTCACCATTTTTCATTCTTCCTTTCTCTCTTTTCGTACTTAATATTTCTTTTGACTGGACTTTCTTATCATCATCTTGCGCCTCACTGCCTTTTTACTTGATGTACTGATGTGAGGTGTGGCAACTTGGACCGTTATACAGTAATGCTTGGTTCTATGTTGATTTGGATGGATGGTCAGTGTGAGCTGTCATTAAAATTAAAAACTGTGATGAATAGTGAAGACTAATCAGAATATATCTGGCGATGTACAAAGATTAGTAAGTTTGCATAAAATGTTTCATAACAAGTCAGAATGTTTGGAAACGGAAGTGTGCTCAGAAAGAGTGTAGAAACAAGAATGTATATTAAATTACGTAAGAAGGGAACAATGTGAAAAGAAAGAGACGATCTCAGAGACAAAGAAGAAGAGGTTAAACAGTTTTGTTATGCGTACAAAGCTCAGGTTTCTCCATACAGATGGCAAGAGCATCGGTGATGCAGAGAATACGAAGACATACAGCCTTTGAAAGGTTTCTCTTCGCTTTATAAATGACTGAATGAGGAGATTCTTGAGATAAGGTGACTAGTGTTCACTTATCGCTCTTACTGTTACCTCTTTGTAACCACACGAGATAGTGCTCATGAACTCTTTTGGGATAACAGTCACATTGAACTACCTTATACCTGGCTTCGCAAGAGCAGGTGAATAAAAGTGGTCAGATAAAAAGGTTTGTACTTTGAGTTGTTAGAAATCATTGAGGGACAGGAGAATACTAGTCTCAGCGTTGATCAAAGAATGTTCTCCTTGGAGAGTTTGATATCCTCCCCTTTAGGGCGTCAGCAGCAAAATCACCTTTGAAATCTAGATTCATATCAAGTATCTTTTTTGGCATGGTGGTAGGCTTCTCTTTGCGAAGTTTAGGCTTGTTATTTTTGTATATACGGGTCGCTGGGAATCCATTCTCAACCAGAAAAGAAATTTCGTCTCACAACACATCGGGACTGCAGATTAGTCCGATCTGAGTTGCTAGGGAAATCAGCTTTCGTTTGCAACTCATGGGCACTCAGTTATGAAAGTTTGTCAGTTGTCCATTCTATATTGGTTTTCTGGAATTCATCTTCGTAATGTCCCATGGGCTATTATTGTCAGTTCGATATCTAAAAAGTGGATTTTCGACTTCATAAGTGAATCTGATTGCTGAATGACAGCTATTGAATACCTATAGAATGTGATTCAAATCACATTGATTATAACATAAAAAAAGTGACTTTTAAGTGCCTTTTGTACAATTGAAGACCTTCAGTCGCTGATTTCAGGGGTCCGTCCTCCAGACTGACTATAATGAAGTCTGCTAGTAGTCGACCTTTTGAGGATCCCATGGTGGTTCCATCTTCTGTCTATACATCACGTCGTTAAATGTCAGTAACCCTAACAAGAAAAAAAATGTATAGATTGTCAATTGTACAGCTTTGAGAATGCAATCACTTGAAAGAGATTCTTCGTTGAGATGCTTGTTCTTTCATATCTTGATGAACCACTAGTGATTAGCTTTGTTATGTGTATTCTAGTGTGAAGGCTTAATCTATCAGGTCAGTCATATTATTAGTAACTACAGATGACCATCAGCTATGTTAAAAATGGTCATGCTATATCACCAACAGTGTGAGGCTGGAACATGCTTACTTAATAGTAGCTTAGTTGCTGCAGAAAATGATGATACTAGATTTGACCTTGTTTTTTATCACTGAGATGCTCTATTGATGAGTCTTGAACTGGAACAAATCACTGATTTCCTATCTGATGTCTAACCGTACTGTAAACCATTGTAAGCTTTAAATGAACCGATGTGTAAGACAGGCAAGCACTCTAGAACTTCATTAACGCTTTGATTTTTAAGCAAGAATCCCATCTCTTTCTAAAGTACCCAGTATACCTTCGAAAAACTTTATTTTACCGTCGAACTCTGCTTTTCAGTTCTAATACCTTACTAATTTATCCTACTCGGTTCTCTCTTCAGCTTATAGTAGAGGCGAAGCTGGTAAAAGTTGCACAATTCTTTTAACATTATGAACAGTTTTAC